TAGCTGTACACTGAATAGAATTAAACATGATCAGTTGTTTCAGTATGTTTATATGTGATAAATCTCTCTATACAGTAGCTGTACACTGAATATAATTAAACATGATCAGTTGTTTCAGTATGTTTATATGTGATAAATCTCTCTATACAGTAGCTGTACACTGAATAGAATTAAACATGATCAGTTGTTTCAGTATGTTTATATGTGATAAATCTCTCTATTCCGTATCTGTACAATGAATAAAATTAAACATGCGCAATGTCTATCCAGTCTACCAATACATGAAAAAGATTTAACACCTTTTATGTCTATAAGGTATTACTAGACGTGAACAAGTACACATCTAACGTCTATGCTCGTTGTTTTCTCCAACCTTTCGTTATTCACATCAGATTAAAAACGTGTAATGTGTACCTCATTTACTTACCTTGGAGAGGATTAAAACGTGTAATGTTTGTCCCATTTTTCTTCCTATGAACAAGGTTAAACTCATATAATATTTATTTTCTTCTTCTTTCAATGGATAAGATAGAAATCGTAACCTCTATTGACTTCTTCCTTCCATGGATAAGGTTAAACGTGAGTAATATTCATCCTATTGTCACGAATGATATTCATAAAGGTGCATAGTTTATCTTCTCGTGTGTCAGAGTCACATTTGGTGATTTCTTATAGATATTAAGGTGGTTTCGTGGTAAGTTCAGATACGTTAGTATTAAAACATTCCTAATACAATGCTTTTTCCGTTTAAAAGAGGCTGAATTTGTAGTGTATATCGTACTAAGACGCTGACGAGCTGTAGTCGTGCCATTAAGTTTGAGATGTCCCAAATCCAATTAACTTTAACTGATGGTTAGATAATAATTAAAAGTGACATTGAAAAATGTCCATATAATTAGAATTAATACATTTTTTTTTATCTATTTAGTGATCCTATTTTTTGCGTTGATTGTTAACAATTTCACTTGTTAGATCAATAAAGGTATGCTTAAAAATATCGTTGGAGGCCCTATGTCTTCTACGCTTAGACCTTTCCGTGAGAAAAAAAATCAATGACGTTTTATTTCCCTACTAGTTTTCAACTTCCAAACTGTCACGGTTTTCAGTGGTTATATTGGCAGGCATTCTGGATGTACTCTGGGAGTGAAACAGGTAAAATCGGATTTAATATATAAAAAATGGGCGAATTTAAAAAAAGAATCGTTTCCAAATGTTTACACATTTTTGTTCCTGATTTTCAATTAAACTGGTACAGAAAATATTGATGACAAATTGAATATAATATCATGTATGTGTAAATTGTGTACTTGTTATATCTTCTACATGGCCATGTGCTTTTCTTTCTGGATTAATTTTATAGTTTCTCTAGATGTTTCGCACCGGTAATCAAAGACGTGGAACTCTTTCTTCTGCACAGTGGGATCGATTACTTCACATACAGTTAATATATAAAGTTCACGCAAGGATTTGCATTTTTACGCTTGTAGGTACATAGATGTATACGCAGGCTCATACATATACATAGAAAACTTGGACACATAAATCCGCTTATTTATCAAACACACTGACGTACAGTTATACGTAGCTCACCTCATATATACAGTGGCTTTCTGAACGGAAAACGCGAGCTTAAGAATATAGCTTGACCAAAGACGTTTATCTAATTATTATTTAACCTTCCTTGTTTTGATCCAGTTTACGTGTTTTAACTACAATATTAAAGCCAAACGAAGCATCTCTTTTTTTTTTCCCGTTTGCTACCATTTTCATATTGGAGTTTTCGTTCCAATATTAACAGACTTAGTAAGAAAGACGTTTAACTGGCGTTCTCTTTATGAAAACAGAAGAAACGAGTAACATGATTCAATAC